GTGAAGCCTAGGAACCTGCTGATGCTGAAAGAGATCTAGTAGGGAGGATGAAAACAAATCAATTGGAATAATTTTTGTCTGATTAAACGTGTCACCTTAGTTTTAATTGCCTCAGGCAAAGCAATGATGTTTTGGAACAGGCAAGGTGTTTTTTGGTTTTTTTTGTTTTGTTTTTTGGTTGTTTTTTTCTTCTGCAGATCTGGCCTGACTTTGTCTAAAAGCCTGCATTTTTTTGACATCAGATGGCTAAAATGGAAAAACTTTAGTTAGTATCAAGTGTAGAAACTGAAGAGTGATTTGGAAAAGTGGATATGTGAGATGATTGAAAGATGAAGATTCACTGATTTGCTAAATTGGTTATGAGGAGATATATTGCAGTGTAATTCAGGCTCAAAAGACTAGACAGACATGCGAACTAGGTGTATGGGGAAACTTCTTGACATAACAAAAACCAGTAAAATGGGGAGGGCACCAGGTGAAATGCCTGAATGAAGCTGAAAATAAAACAGCAAACTTATCAATGGGCACTGAAAGAAAGTCTGTGGAGGTAACAGCATATAGAGCCTTGAAACTGCTGTCAACCAGTCCCTCTTACGATTCGTGGGAGAGCAGAAATTGTTCCTCCGTTCTCAAGTTTTGTGTAGGAGGGCATATGTGAGCCTGTCTTCTCTGTGGGATCTTCTAAAGTACTTGCAGTCTCTCTGGCTGAATTTGATTAACTGCGATGAAGTGGAAGTCGCTCGCATATCTGGTCTCCTCTCAGGTATTTAAGAATAACTACCTTCTTCCCAGATTGTGGGATATAATTTTACTAGTTTGCCATTTCCAGCTTTGTGTGTGAAACCACGAGTCAGTGACGAGTTTTGAATGGCCTTCTGCCCACGAAGCTATGTCCCCAGTCGGCTCCATTCAGCTCACAGCAGCTGAGCGCCTCTTGCTTTGCCCTCAAAAACCTCCCTCCTTAGGAGTCGGCCGTCGTGGTGCCAGTGATGGCCTTCAAATACTGGGGTGGAGAGACCTTGAATACAGAAGCTGTGCCTTGTGAGAAATGGGTGGAGATTCCCAAAATGTCTTCTGATGCCAGATGTAGTCAGCTGAGTTTGTCTGTTGCAATTTTTATGGCGGTAGGTGGCTTAATTTTTTGACAGGATTTTCAATAGTCAAGGCTGAATGAAACAAGTCTGCCTCAGTTGGTTTGGATATAATCAAACAGTGCGGTTTTTGGGTGTCTGTCAGATGTAGGTAATTGAAATCAAATGATTTGAGGATGCATACTGATTTTTTTTTTTTTTTTTAATTGCCAGATATATGCCTTCCTTTTGATGAGTGTGTCACAAACACCCAGCTTCTTGTTTGTATCGGGCTGGGAGCAGAAGGGAGTGAGAGGATTTGCTCTAATGAGAAACAATCAGTGCTGATGGGGGCCCCAGGAGTAATAACTGCTTCATTTTTCAGAAAAACGAGGTGAAATGTAGTCATTCAGAATGAAGTATGTTTTTCCAATCTATCTTAATTAGGATCTAATTGCACAGTACCAACTTGGCAAACATTGTCCTGTTGGCTCTTCTCTTGCTAACTGTTTAGAAGAACAATACCAAATAAACAAAGGAAAAATCGGTCTGTTCAGTATGAAATATTTCCTTATACGCTATACTTTCAGATTCTGTCTGATCAATACCATTTGCAAGATGTATTGGAACGATCTGATCAGGTTATGGCTGTGGCAAAAGACTTGTTTCGGAATGCTCCTCGCACACGAACAGGTAGACCGTCTCGTTTATATGTGGTAGCACGTTTAAGATTATCTCCTTGGTTTTCATAAATAGCCTCGCTTTGCAAAGTATTCTTTTTAACTGTTTTCTTCTCATCGTCTAACGTAGTATGATTGATCCTGTTCATGTTGGATGAAACACAGATGAGGATAACGCCTCCCATGGCAGGGGAGAGCGAGCCGCGGCCGGTTATTCTGTTGTATCGGTCCGTTGTGGAATTTGGGATCGCTTACTGTGGAACACCTGACGCTCACCATTTCCACAGCCCAGCGACTGGCCTGTACAGGGCACCGGTTCGAGCCACCGTAGTAGTTCTGCTTCGCATTGCTACGTGGGTTGACTGCTTGCTCTTGGATATTGTTGAAGGTCTATCATCAATTCGCAAACAAGGCTTTTCCTTTTCTTATCCTCGTTTGCGGGCCCTTACACTGCTGAAAGGCAGGATTGGCTGTTTGCATGTGAAATCTTGAGCTTAGATTCTTTTTCTCTGTAGGCTGCCGTTCTCTTTTGCTTATAATGACTGTTTCATCCTACACGCTGCTTCTGCACAAGTGTATTTATGCAGGTGAGAAGGACAAAAGCCTGGTGTATGACCGAATGTGTTAAGATAACCCTATGGTTGGCCTTTGGCAGTTGTTTAAAGCGACATACATCCCTGTGGCCCTTCTTCTGCAAAGTACGGGAGCTTGCTTTTTGGCACAAAGTCCTGTGATGTACTACAGACCGAGTCCTCTGTGTTCTTCCCTATTTTGTCTGATTCCTCTAGGTTTCCCTAATGTAACAATGGCTCCTAACTGTGACCTAGAATCATCTCAAGGACCCATTGTACAAAAATGTGATCCTCCCACTCAGCTTTCCATCCTTAGTGAATCTGTCATGGATTCCCAGGTAATGTGTATTCAGTTCCATGCATGTCCTGTAGCTTTTTTGTTTGCACAAAATCAGAATATTCAAAGGTAGAGTTTCCAAGCAGACCTAAACCTTTCTTCTGTGTATTGATAACATGTTGATAACATACGTAGAAAATGGTGTTAAATGGAGGTGAGTTTGTTTTGTGAGACTCTGGGAATCATGTTTTTTTTCATTTCTTTACCTTTGAATATGAGAGACACCAACTTCTCATGTCTCGTAGAAGCTCTCTCATATTAGCATGCTCTCCCTTTTAAATTCTGGAGTTACCAGCAAGCGAACAGAGTAATTACAGACTAAGCAATTAGTTGTGACACAAGAGTTGTTTTCTATGTATCGAAATACGCCTCTGATTTTCTAATTATATCTGTTTAAATGGGGACATAGCCAGTTGGGCTCCAGTTTATTTCTGATAACACACATGCAAATGTACCCCAGTTAACTCCACAGCCTTGATTAGTCCTCCAAGTTTTAAATTTTAATACTTCACATCCTTTTACAATTATTTAGGTTTGTTTAAAAAGTTTAAAAATGGTTTAAATCTGTTTAAAATTTCATTTAGATTGCCATTGTGTTCTGTTTTCTTTTCATAACATGAGTTGTACCTGGAATGCTCACTGTGCTTTGAGGACAGGCATATGACAGTCCCGGAAAGCAGCTCACTGATGAAGACCAAAAGGGCTGTGGGAGTGAAAGTGATGGTGTCATATTCTCCTGGTTCTCTAATCCTGTTCCCTACTATCTTGCACAAATATCTGCAGTTCGAGTTGCAGTACTGCTCTGTCATGTGTTTGCTTTTTGGGTTTTTTTAATAGGAAAAGTTAACTGCAGCGTCTTTATAAGCTGTATCACTGGACGCATGCTGCAGGATAGGCTTAGATTTTTAAGACACCTGTACTGATAGTTGTCTGCTGAGCTTCTGTGAGATTTTCTTTTCCTTATGTGCCTACGAAAATCATGGTTAAAGGCTGTCTGTTGAAGCCTACCCAGAAGCACAGAAACCTGGTAGTTTGAGGAACCCTGATTCCCAATCTGATTGCTTAAGTTTTGCTATGAATGTGGTACATAGGATTGTATTTTGTTCTGGTTGCGTTTTACACATAGAATATAAATGCAATTTTGCAGATCTCATTACCAGGTTGTTTAGCTTGCAATGTCAAATGGCTGAAATTGTAGAGATGCTATAATTATGTGGCTTTTTCCACGTTCTGCCTGCTGTATCTCCGTATTTGTTTCGGTACAGTCTTTTAAAGCTTTTTTATTCTACAGTGTGTGTGGTCTTTCTTATTTAATATAAATCATCCAAATAAAATATTGGATATTGAATTAATCACTTGCTGTGTTATTTTCAGAGACAATTGTCAGCATTAGTATTTCTTAGGTACTAAAGTCCCTCAAAACTCTTTGCACAGAAGGATGTGTTGTTCTTTTTTTTTTTTTTTCTTCTTGATTTTGTTTTGGAGGTAGGGACTGAAACAAATGTGTTTGGTTTCTTTTCTTGAAACAATTTCAGAAAATTGATCTCTAACTTCTTCCTAAAGACAAATTGAAATTGCTCTGAAGTCCCTTTTGTTTTCTTTGTTGCCTCCTAAAAAGGCTCTTAATGAAGTGGAAGAGGAAGCATTATCAATCTATCAATCAGAAGATGGATACCATGACTCGCTGAATTTCAAATCCAACATCGGTTCTGACAGGTCAGTACAAATATATCCATTCAGGTTTCCACCTTCTTAATACTGGAAATAGATGCAGTTAAAGGGGTGTTGCATGGGTATAGTTCAGTTACTTCTTCTGTTCCCCCCCCCGCCCTGTCCTCCTTTCCTGACCTCAGAATTCTAGGGAAACCCCTTGTTGTGACATTCACACTGGGAGTGAATGTGAGCAGGGAACTCGCCTGAGCAGTTACAAATATTTTAAAAAGCTCTTTCTAGACTGTACAGGTAATCCAGAATCATGCTAGTATCCTATTACAATTCACTGTTATGCTTGTTTTGAATGTAGGCTACTTCGGTTATTGAGAGAAGAAAATTCCTTGGTGAATTCTCAGTTGTGGGCTGAAAAGGATATGAGAAAAACTACCTTATCACAGGAATCAAATGTGCCTTTGACTCCAACAACTGTTTCTCCATCATTGGATCAGTCAGGTTGGATTTGCCAAATCACAGCCTCTCAAGGGTTGTTAGGCTGTTCACAGGATCCTGCCTGGAATTCCTTTTCTGGGTGGGGGTGAGAGACAGAGACATGTGCTAATTTGGCTCCGATGAATTTCCAGACTAAAAAGCCAGCACTTCTAGTAAAATTACTGTATAACGGTACCTACCTGAAATATTTCTTGTGTGTATTTTTTGTTTCGTTTTGTGTTTAAATCAGCCCTCAATGCTACCGGTGTAGTCAAGAGAATCCATTCCAGACTTCAGAATGAAGACGACGAAGAGACTGTAGACGCCACTTACACTGTGAGACAAGTGCTGAACCTGAACTCAAGGAAACAAAAGCAAATTGCAGCAAAAAGTTTAGTACTTTTAAAAATGACGTACCTCCCTTTGACCAAGGTCCTTAATATCATAAGATGATGTAGGTTGAAAGGGATCTCTGGAAGTCATCACAGGGCTCACGCCAAAGTTTGATTAGGGGGGCCTTGTCCAGCCAAGTTTTGAGCATCTCTAAGGATGGACATTTCGCAGCCCCTTGTGTAGAGTATTCCTCTGTATTCTGCATGTTCATTGGCAAAGCAAAGTCCATAGGAATCTGGGAACTGTAAATATGGCCCTTTGATGCTACCCATTACCTTGCTAGCCGTGGAGTTCTCTCCGGTGCAGGGCTTTTCTGTTTCTGATATAGCTTTCTATTCTGCACTGCACAGACTTATGATGCATTTCAGTCCCCGTATTCTATGCACATTTGTATGTAGGGACTGACATCAGATACAAACAATGTTACACATGAAAGGATTGTTGTAAAAGAGCTGCTCAATGAATATGAGACCTGAAAGCGGCTGATATTTTTCCCAGGCTGTTCACTGGCAAACTGTTTCCATGCTTTTAACTGAGAAGGAGGAAAGTATAAACAGGTATCTAAGATAAAAGCACCAAACAGTCATACTTGAGAGAAGCTAATGTGGTGGCAGAAAATGCAGGTTTTGATGATCTGAAAATAACCGAAATGACTGGGGATGTTCTTTGATGGTCCATTTCAGGTCAGGGCAAAGAGGGCCTCTCCTTTGATTTCCTTCAATAAACAATGTAATTTCATTGGTATTGCAAAGCTTTCTATGCAAGTTGAAATTCCAATGACGCTTTTTTTTTTTTTTCCCCTCAGTGAAAAGAAAACAAACTGGACAGAACTCTGCAAGACAGAGGAGAGATGTTTCTCCAGCTAATTCAATCCCCATTGACCTTCGGAGGGACAACAAATCCAGCCTAGATGTTCTCAACCGCATGATACATGAAGTGGAGCATGAATTGGAGGAATATGAGCGATGTACAGGTCGTGAGGTTCAAAAAACTGAGAGAAGTGAAGGCCTCACTGGGTTTACCTTGTCACTGGTGAACGCTCTCTGTCGTTTGATGCGCTACCTCAAAGAGGTGAGAAGACTTGGAATTGCTTCTGTAGAGTGAAAAAAAAAAAAGGGTATAAAGTTACTTTACAGATGTGAACTTTGGTCTTTCCTGTCTCCCAATCAGTTTACTTTGAAGTCTGATTATCATTGCTTGTTATTTGGATTGCATGCAATTAGGGGTTAAAACTTTTAGTTTGCTAGAAACAGGTATCCCTAATGAAAAGGGAGGAGTTGACTGCAATGAAAGTCTCTCGGTGACTATTAGCAGAAAATATCAATTGTAATAGTTTTAAATTTGTTATTTAAATATATTCAGAGTTGTAGCAGGGTATTAACTACAGCCTTGCTTACAAATTCATTTTCTTCCTTTGCCTCCCAAAGGCAATGCTATTGTCGCTAGAGCAGTGGACCCAAATCCTCAATTTTCTTTGAGGGATTCCTTAGCTCTCCTTTTCTATTCATAGCAGCAACTTCACCTTAAGCAAGCATGACCTGAAGTGCTCACTGTAGCAGTGCACTGGCTGGGGATCAGTGGAATTCCATAAAGACGACTACTTGTAAGCCATGTAGAACTCCTTTGTAAAAGAGAAAAGGGAAAAAGAGTGGTTTTTATTTCATCTCTAACCGAGAGCTGCTCAAGATGCAGCAGTGGCTCACAGATTCATTGGGCCTATGTGAAATTTTGAACCAGATTCCTGCACTCTTAACAGATGCAGCAGAATGTTATCTAAACCCCAATGCTCCATTTCATAGCAAAGACAATAGATTCCTAATGAATGTGCAACTGCCCTATTTTGGTTCCTTTTCAGAGTGTATAATAATTGGGGGGAGAAAAAAACCCACCTTATTTTAAAATTTGATTTTTTTTTTTGTCTGATTATATAACAACTTATTCCTTGTATTACCCTGTATTTAATTTATATGGAAGAATTTACTTCAAGACCTGTCTCAGAAGCAAACAGTAAATAGCCAATTCAAGAGTGAAAAGCCACTGCCATCAGAAGATGGACTTTGACTGTGGAGATCTCACGTTTTAAAAGAAGTTAAGAATGCTTGTTCTCTGTTTAAGTTGTAATACCAAAGCAGAGTATTAAATTTGGTTCTTCTGCAGTTAGGAGGAAGGATCTTCTGGACTTCCAACAGAATGTTTTTCCATTTATTAGGAAAACATCAATTTAATAGCATCAAATTCATATTATAAATACAATTGCAGTTATAACCCTATTTAGATTGTCTTTAATTTGTATTCCACAGAAATGAGTTATTCTTGACGCTCAGGCTTCTTCCAAAACTACTCCAGATTGTAAATTTTTTTTCTTTCTTAGTTGCTGCTTTCTCGTTATGAATGTAACATTCAGTGTGTCTTAAGAGCTTTTATCCTACTCAGACAGAAGGCCAAGGAGTCTGAGTGTTTAAGGAGACTACCTATTTTGAAAGATGTATACTGACTCTTACTTGTATGCCCAGTTTTCATTGAGCACGTCTGATGTTGTTTCTACTTTAATAGATGTGTTACCATTCCTTCCTTCCAGGAGTTAATTGTTGCTTGCCGAATTTTCTGCAACTTTTTTAGATTTACTACCTAAATTCATGAGTTGAAATACGCAGAAGTCGCTCAAGCTACAAGGTGTGGCTAATCATATTCAGAGTTGCTCGAGATAGTGTGCATCCATAATCTTCACTGACTTTTCTCCTTTTCATGGAGCTTTAATTACAGTTACAATTTGAGAATTCACTGGGAAGAAGCATAGCTTGTCTGAGTATTTCCTAAAACCTGTGATGCTAGGAATAAATCAAATGCTTGTGTGCACCATCTGTCTTGCCTAGCCGGGAGAGTTAGCAAAGTTGCAATGCCTGAATTACAGCTGGCAATGCATTTCAAGAAAGTGACTTTGCAGCGGTTATTTAAAAAGCCTCTGATTTCAGGTAAACAACTAGTCTTCAAGAGGTTTTGAAGCTTCTAGAAAGATTTCCTTCCTCTTCTGTGGAGAAAAAATTATTTTCCAGCTTTGCTGCAGAAAAGCTGAATGCAGAAGAATTGCCATCAAGGATGTTGCTTAATTTATTCTCAAAATTATGTCTAAAAAGTAGGAAGGGAAACTTGAATTACCGAATCTTTCATGCAAGCTGTATTAATAAGTGATTAAAAAATCAACTGCTACAAGAACCTAGGGAATATAGAGGAGGCTAGAGAGAAGGGGGGAAAAAGAAACTTCTGAAATGTTTGCCAAGCTATACGAAATTCTGAAAGGGAAGTGGATGAGCCTGACTTGGTTCCTAAATGAATTTCAATGTCATCTGCCGAATGTTAGAATTATTTTTTTTCCCCATTCTGTGAAGAATGCTATTTCTTTGCCAGACTCACAGGGCAAAAAGTTAGAGTATACACATACCCCACTAATCTGTGCTGCTGTGTTCTCCATCTCTGCTTCTGCATGTTCTGATGCGGTGTTAAAACAAAGCTTATGAGATTGAGGTACACCTGGCAACGGGCTGGAATGAAGATATTTCTTTCAGGGTATACCAGACCCCGGTCATACCCAATGGTAGGAATGGATGTATGTATCTCTTAACCCTGGTGCCCTCCCTGTGCACAAACGTAAGACACATTTGAAAAGCTTGGAAGCTTTTCCTCCAAGAGTAGGTTAGTGCTGTGCAGGATGAGTAGATACAATAGCTCATCCAGATGATCTGAGGCATCAATAGGCTTCATCACTGCTACCAGGGTTAAAGTTCTTATTTTGTGCTGTCTTGGGTTCCTAAAAAGATAGGACTATCTCAGTTTTTTCCATTTTCTGTGCCAGCCTGCTCCGCTTGGATCAATACAGAAAAGCTGTTCTCTCTAGGTGGAAGAGAACCAGAAAACGGATGGCTTGTCTCTGATAGGCTTGAAAGAGGTATATCTGCCTGTCTTTGTGTCTAGTGACAGTATCTGTGGTTTATCCTCAAAATTATTTATTCATTCACTTTATGTGGCTGCAGAGCTGTTGTGTCTTAACACATCTTCCTGGGTGGTTTTTCACTTCTGGTCCCAATGCCAGCAGAAAATAATCTATGGTATGTTATGGGCAGCTCATGCTCTAATTTTGTCTGTGCAGCAGCGAAGAGTACTCCAGGTGCTTTTCAGGATCTCTTGCGTTTTGGAGATGGGATGTATTTCTCTTTTTCAGGGATTCCTTTGAGTAAATGCAAGCAACCATCTGCTAATTCTGATGTGTTTGTGTGACTTGTAGCCTCCGTTCTTTCTTAGCTACAATGGTCCAGAAAGTGGCAGTTGTGTATTCCATTTACCCATTAGAGGTGGAAGGGACTCTTGTGTGTCTTGTACAGGACTCCTGGCTGCTGCAGTGGTCTGTCTTAAAATAATAGATTGATAATATCTTCTGAGGGCAAGAGGTTCTACAGCAAGGTCTTTTGCCTCACGCTCAAGTAGATTACTTAACAAGTAAACCTTTTTGTCTTCTTTGGAAAAAAAAAAAATGAAACCCTGTAGAACTTTTTCTCTCTTTGAGGGAACACATTAGAAAGCAACTACTTTCTCTGTTTAGTAACTTGTCGTCGTTAATGAATTAAGGAAGCTAAAGAATAGGCACAAGTGGCACAGGATACTGGCAAGCATCAGCACACCTGGAGTTAGTTGATTACTGCATGCGACTTACAAAACAGCATCTGTGCGGAGAGACAGCGCTTGCAGTTACAGCCTGTAAAAGCTGTAAAGGCAGAAGAACAAGGATGTATAGGATTCCCTACAGTGTTCTGGAGTAACAAAGAAGGAACAATAAGCTCTCTGACGGTTCTCAAGCCCTGAAAACTGGATTTTGTCATGAAAGTAATGAAGTCAATTTAGGAAACGGGGGAAGAGCTCTTACTGTATGATGTGATATAGACCCATTCCTGTTTCCATATATGAATCTGTATTGGTTATAGCAGGTTTTTAACTTTTTCTCGCTCTTCAGAGTGAAATGCAGCTACGTGAGAAAGAGATGATGAGACAGCAGCATGAGGAGATGTTGAATGAACACAGAGAACTGATTGATGCTCTGACTGCAGAAATACTTCTAGTGAGGGAAGAAAACACTACTATACAGGTACTGAGCCCCCACCCCCCTCAGAGCAACCTGTTAGAATACTGAGTTGTGTTGCAAATGTGTGCTGAGATGCATTGTCATACGGGCAGGAGATTTTACCAATAAACAGGAAAAAAATGATAACGTTGAATGCGGAGTCTGAGAATGATAATAGCAGGTATGGGGGGGAGGAGTGTTTGGAAAATCAGCATTTTGTCTTCCTATATGATATTTAACTTTAAAGCCTGAGAAAATGCTGCTTCCATTAAAGTGAGCTTTATTTTATCAATCTAAAGGTTTAAGCATCTGCCTCCACGCTTACATACCGTTAACACTACTGGAGCAACAGAGTACGCTAGATATAATACTACATTTTTCTTTCTGTCAGTTTGCAGTGGAGGTAGATTTGTTCAATGGTTACATTTGGGAATGAAGCAATAAAGCTGTGTTGGAGAGGAGATGAGGTATGGATCAATTAGGAAAAGGGAAAACAAAGAATTTCTTTGAGGCAGGAGAGAAAAGAAATGAGAAACATGGAGACACCAATATTTAATACCTAACTGGAATACGACAAATTCATGCAGTGGTATTGAGAGACCGAATTTCTTCTCAGAGCTGCCTGTGGTATATAATCCGTTACATAGCAATTCCTGTTGCTAGAATACAGATTTCTGTCTCTCTCTTTTGTTTTCCCTTCATACTTTAGAATAAGCTTCAGCAATACATGACAGTAACAGATGAACAGCTGATCTCTCTCACACAAGCATTTAAAGGCCTCCCTTTGGTAGAACCCAGAAGAGAACAAAGTCCAAACCATTTTGGAATTGCAAGCAAAGGTCCAGTGAACGGCCAAGGTGTGTGCATGCATGTGTGAAGGATGAAATGGGAGTTGTGGCTAGTTTATCCCTGTAGTGGAAAATTTGGTATTTGATAGATGTCTACTTGAATAAATACCTCTTGTGTGAGCATGAATTGCACTTCTGGAAATTCATATGCCGTGGGTTCTGCTATGAGCACAAGCAGTTCGCTACAAATTATTTTCTAACAATATTATAGGTTGTATTCCATCAGCACTGGCATCCTTCTGTCTGGATCAAGACTTCAAGATCAACCTTTTAGCCAAGTCCTGGGCTTGAGCTTTTAACATAATATATTATACTACAAAAAAAAGGGGGGGGTGGGGAGGGGAGAGATGTCTACTTGAATAAATACCTCTTGTGTGAGCATGAATTGCACTTCTGGAAATTCATATGCCGTGGGTTCTGCTATGAGCACAAGCAGTTCGCTACAAATTATTTTCTAACAATATTATAGGTTGTATTCCATCAGCACTGGCATCCTTCTGTCTGGATCAAGACTTCAAGATCAACCTTTTAGCCAAGTCCTGGGCTTGAGCTTTTAACATAATATATTATACTAAAAAAAAAAGGGGGGGGTGGGGAGGGGAGTAGGCTTCACCCATTAAGATGGCTTACAAAGTCAGGTTTATTGTGAGGGTCCTAAAAAAAAAAACAAACAAAAAACAAAACAAAAAAACCCCCAAACAAACCAAAAACACCAAACAAAAAAAACCCCAACCAAACAAGCAAAAAAACCCCAAAACCCAGCTGTTTTGCCTTTCTGTTGTTTTTCGCCTTTCTGTTGCTGAGGCAGCCTGACGGTATGAGACTGGTTCTTCTGTAAGACACTGGAGGTCGCTGCTGACCAGAAGCAGCAGCTGCTGAGGCCTGCTAACAAACCAGACAGAAGTCTGTTTCTTGATCTTTGTGACTTTAGATCAGAAGTGAATGACCAGTCGAGTGATATATAACATAGATGCAGGCTAAGTTAAGCTGGTAGCATTGATGGCCAAACTAACCAAATATGATTCACCTTGTACTTTTTACATTCTTTCACCATGGAGTTTTCTCCCAACTCTCTTCTCCGATTGGTTGCTTAAATGCATCATTTTTGCTCTCAAGGTCAGTAACTCCTTGTGAATCCCAAGACTCCTTGGAGCTCTTTGTATTCCTTAATTAAATGTTGGTCTTGTGGTCAAAAACTTTCTTCCTGACTGTTTCTGCGGGGTTCTCAGGAAGAGGCCACGTACCAGATCCCTTTTTTGTGATTTACCCAGGCTTTGTAAAGGCAAACAAAAAATCCTACCCCAAAATATAAAATCCAAACAGTCGGAAAAGCACCCCTCCAAACAAACAAACAAAACCAACAAAAAACCAAAACCCCCAAACCTTCCTATACAACAATTCTGCAAGACTAGAATTTCCATTCTTTTTTCCTTATTGGTCTCTCTTCTCAGGAAAAGGCAACTTCCTGAGAGGAAAGCTTCCTAAAGTTACAAAAATACTTCTTCCTCCTCCTCTTCCTTCAGAAGGAGATTCTTGTACCCTTAAGGTACCTGACTGGATGTGAAACATTTGAGGTAGGTAGTTTTAGCACAGAAACCATGTGTAAGTTAACACAGGACTTCTCTGGAGAGACAAGAGTGGCCGAGAGAGGAGTGGAGGGCATATCATAGTGACAAATAGCATGAGGAGGATACTTTGGAAACGCAGTTCTGTACAGTGAAACAGGGCGGGAAGATGTCTCGTTTCTTGCCATGGTCATTGAACAGTGGGTGGCGGGTTCCAAGTTCAATCTCAGAACCTCGGTAGTGTGAACTGCAAGCAGTATCTTATGCGAACAGCCTTTTCTGGCTCTTCGCCTTTGAAGGGTGCTTTTTGTCTCTTGCATTTTGGCATCCAGGTATGTTTTGCTTAATTTTCCACTAACTTCTCTTTTGGGAACAAATGTCCCGAACAAAATTGTGAAGAGAGAATTCAAAGATAGCACTAATGGAGCAGTGGATGTAAGCGTATTAAAATTAGTCGTCTCATAGCTAGCTACAGCTTTGATTTCGTGCTATTCATTTTGTGCCTCCTTGGTATGTTCAAAATGGATGGCAATGTAGACACAAGCTAGTTGTAGTTAAATACAGAAGAATAACTTTTTTCTTTTACTGAAGAGATGTCCAATTTGAATTAAGTCATAAAAAGATTATCAGAGAGCTCAAAAAAGCTTTGAATTGTTTTCCACTCCACCACTGTTGCCATCAAATTTATAATGTAGGTTCATTGGGACAAGTGCGTAGGTCTGCTTTTCTCAAGAGAACGTTACCAAATGCAGCTCACTGAAATACACGTGGCCTGTGAGGAACAGGCAAGTCTTGTGCGTGGGCTACAAACAGATCTGTTACTAATATCCTGAAATTATGAGGCTATGTATAAGAGCTCGTCTTGCTCTTAAGGCCAGTGAAAATCTGTGTTATGCTCCAGTGGAAGAGTTCTGTACCTGGGGATCAGAAGGACGTTAGCAGTGCGGGGGGAACATGCTCTAGTCTGTCTTTTCAGATGCCTGAACATAAGAGTTGTTATTGAGAATTTTCCCTATTGCGCTAAAACTAATATTTTTTTTTTTTAAATTCTATCTCTGCTTTGTCTCTTTCTTTAGAGAAACCTGATTTGAGCTATTTTGAGCCTAGGGCTGATGCAGGCGACAGGGAAGGTATGCTGAAATTCCCACAGGAAGAAGTTCCTTTTAAGTTTCTCCAGAGGTCAGGCGCTTCAGGTGGCGCGGGAGCTGGTAGAAGCTTGCCATCCCACGTTTTCCAGCCAGCTGTGCTGTTGTCACCCCCCCGGCAGAAGAGCAGTCAGGAATTATCTCCCCTCCAGAACGGTGAGATCTCTCTGGCTGTAGTAGACTTGAGAGTCTGTGTAGCGTGTTACTGTTTCAATCTCGTACTACCTTTGAAGAAGCATTTTGTATAGAAAACTTTCAATCTGTATGCTTAGACACATTGGCCCTATAGCTGGAATATCCTACTTCTGCCCCCAGATACGTATTTGTTTTGTTTCTATGCCTGTTGCTAGATTTCCTTTAGACTTTCTGTCCCCTGCAGTTCTCCCATCTACTGTCTGCAGTCCTGTCAGTGGCAATCCAGACTGGCATTTTTATTTTCTACCGGTTTTGATTGTCACTTCTGTATGATCTGCTGTAGCTCTTTGTCTGGGACGTACAGCACATCATCTCAGACTTCCATCTGCTGATGGTGTAATCCAGCCTCCATCACCTTTAATGGTGGGACCACTGAAGACTGGAAATTCAATGCCTCTGCAGCCCGTGCTGCAGAAAAACCAGGATGTCTGGAGGCTGCGTACTCTTGCTTTGAGCCAATCTTCCCAGCAGAGGTTTTTCTAAAAGCTTCAGGAGCAGGTTTCCATTGGGTTTCATTTAATACACAGGAAAAGGCCAAAGAAGTTTTAGGTGAAATTATGTGGTGCCGGATAACCAGATTAACTCAGTCTTGTGTCAGAATCCATAAGCTTTGGGAGTTTTATAGGTCGGTAGCTCAGTTCTGGTTGTTGGGAGGAAGAAAGTTTATCAGGGGTGATAAGGAGAGGTGTTTCTCATTTAAACTTAATGAAGTGAGCAGAAGAGAGGACGCTTTGTGACTCTAAAAATTAGCTGTCCTGCAACTGTCGCTGTAATGGCATGCATCCTACTGAACGTGCTAGGGCCCTGTAACCCTCTGTTGTTGAGAGGCAGGTAACTATGGCTACGGCTAGCTTGACGGTTGCTGACGGGAAGCAGGGCACGGTAGTGGGATTTTGTGCCTTCCCTTCTCCTTTTTTTTTCTCCCCCCTTTCAGCTTTGTTGCTTTGTAAGACTTTTCCAAGTCAGAAAATGAACCCAAAAGTCCTTTTGATTTAAGGAGACGGCAGGACAATTGGAAGTTTATATCTAGTTCAAGCTTTTGGTGGTCGCCTGTGCTGCAAGGAGGCACATAATAAATCAGGAGAAAGTGAACTAAAGGTAGCTTTCTGCAAAGAGCAACATCTGGCTTCAGTCTCATTGAGAACTGTCGGATGTTGTCTGTCATTTGAAACAAGAATATTAGCTGTGTGAGAAATTTAAAGTCTTTTAAGACTGTTAAGGATGCTAAATGGCTCAACAAATGTTAAACTTCTTGAACGTTTCTTTATGAAAAAATATTGATAAAACGGATTTATGTGTACATTTTTAAATGTCATGCTCTGCTCAAGAGGCAAAAGCTAAAGCTTGGGAAGGAATGGGGCTATTTGGTATATAAAGCATGGAAAATCTGAGTTTGATCACAAAATCCAACTTGGACTTAACATGTAGCAGCTGACAGTGCTGTAACATATTTGGTCGTGCGTGTGTGGTGTGTTATCAGTCTGCTAATGATGACCACAAAAAACACCTAACTACTTTTGTTGGCTGGAGTGCTTCCCCTTTCTTAGGGGCTGAGTAAGTACCTAGTTTATTATTATGCCAAAAGTCTTGTATTATTTTGTTTTATTATTCTAAAAGTTTTGTTACCAACCCAGTATAAATATCAGAACTAAACCACAGGCTTACAGTTTATTAGGTCAGGTAACTGGATATTGGAAAATGGAGGACTAACTAAGAAGTAGTGTTTTATGTATCAGCTAAGAAATTCAAACCAATTAATCTTCTCTCTGACTTCTCTCTCTATCTCTTAATTAAATCATGTAAATGTAAGACTATTTGCAATAGGAAATATTACACCTGGTGAGTTCTTGCAGCAGGATCTTGCATAGGGTGGTATTGATCAGTAGCATAACAGCATTCGGGCTAGATGTTACAATTCAAGTTCCTGCTTGCTTATTACTAGCCTGATGCAATAAAGTCATCGTTAGTTTCCTTGATGAGGATCGCGTGTCTCTTTCCTTACTGTTCCTTTATTTCTTGTTTTTAGTGTTTACAGCCATTTCTCAGTCTCCTGAAAACAGCGAAAGAGAACCATGCAAGGAAAGGAGCTCACCTTCCTCCCTGAGAACACAGAGCACAGTTGAGGAAAACCGTCTCATCTCTCAAAGGCAACCAATTCCTCCTGCAGACAAAGACCTGGGGAGTTCCCGTGAGAAAGCCAATCTGTCCTGCCCAAGTGTCACTAGAAAAAACAGCACAGCTGAAGAGTTGTTTCAAAACGGTGATCTGCTGGGACAGATAGCTGAGCTCACGCGGCAGAACTCTCTGATTAAAGCGCAGCTGAGCAAATTCAGAGGCTTGTCTGAAGACACAAGTGACCGCGTACATCAGCCAGACCCAGTACGAAATGCAGGTTCTAGTCCAGACTCTGCACAAGGACAGGTGAGAATTTAACAGAAAAGGAAGGCTGGATTCCCCTTGCTGCTGATCTGCTTCCTCATAGCTTACTGATGCTTTAAGACTGTTTCTTTCCTGTTGTCAGTTGTTTTAAGGAAGAGAGTAGCAAAACAAATATTTTCATTCATTTGCTTGGAGACTTGTGATTGGTATCATTCCCTAAGGAGCTCAACAGCAGTTTCTCATATTGGGCCTACGTTGTACATGAGTGCTGAAAAGCGTGCGGCACATTTATAAGTTTACGGTAAGGTTATGCTGCAAAAAGAGGTGTGATTGCAACATGATCAGGTATACATCTTGTAGCTTGGATAATATTAACAGTGAAAGCACCGCACCAAGCCACAGGTTCTTGTCAAGCTTGTAAAATACATATTTAAATCCATGCCATACATCTCTTCTGCTACTGTGACTCAAAAACCCATGAGATTAAAGTTGGTGCAAGTACCTCTCTTGCAAATACTTAATTATAGTGGATGTACTAGTTGTATCTGTCTTACCTGTCCTGCTGTGTGGTGAAAATCCCAAAATCTTTGGGAAAGAGAGAACTTAAATGCTTCAGTTCACATAGAAAACCTTTAATCTGCAACTAAGCAGCTATTCAGTGGCACCCCAGTGAGTGGCGTTAACATCGCAGAAAGGCCTAATCCCTGCCCTTGCTACTGTCTTTACTTTTGTTCCATCGCAGTGGCTGAATTACTGTTCAGTTAAGGATCCTAAAGATTTTTAATTTCCTCATGTAAATATAGGCTCAGAGCGTTGTTGCTTTCCGCATTGCATTACGTTGTGTAATGTTTAGTCATTTAATTGTATAAGATGATGCAAACTTTTTAAAGTGTTGCTTTTGTGGAAGCAATTACTGGAGGGGGAGGGGTCAAAGTGGATGAAAACCCGGTTTAAAGATGCGTTCCAGGATACTTCTGCTAGAAATCTGCTTTTGCTTCCCCACACCATCCTGAATATGTGTGTCTCTGCTTCGATATTTTCTTAATTATGGTTAATTGCTGGATAGTTGGGGGTTTTCTTTTTTCCTTTTTTTTTTTTTTTTTTTTGTGAAACAACAAAAAGGTTTTTTTTCCTTTTTTTAGG